AGTCAGAGATTAACATTTTACAGCATAGCTATTGAGATCCTGCTTTTTCTGTCTTTTACAAACTGTTGATTTTTATATTTTTCACCCCTGTGGCAATTGACAGTTAACAGTTGTTTTGGAGCTGCGATTCTTATTGAGTTTTTCTTTCCTTTGAACTTCAAAATTGTGTGCTTTTCATTAACAGAAAGTGTCAGGAGTTGTAGCGCAGCAGCTGGTTAGGACCCTATGCGAGGCTGTGGTTGGTTAATCCCGGAAAGGTTCAGGAAAGTTCCAAAAGTAACCAAGTCTAAAAAAATGTAAAGTAATGCTGTTGTCAAGGGATTGAGCAAGGGTTTCAAGACCCAGAAGACTATTAGGTTTAAAGTGTTCTTTCCCAAAAGGTAAAGCGTGGGTTAAGCTTGAAAGAGGGACCCTCAATAGTGAGACTGAGTGGAGTGAGTTACTGTATAATGACCAAATAACAGCATCATTAGATCCAGAGGGGCCATCTGAAGGATTGTTTCTGCTAAATTCAATTGCGTTACAGAAAAGTCTGTGATCAATATCGTGCATGGGGCCTGCTAGAGCCTAACCCTTACTCCTGTCGACCTCTGCCAAATAATATTACTGATCTAGTAGTCGTTTACCTATTGGATAGAGTGTGTCCTTGTGCTCCAAAAGCAAACTCTCCCCCTATTACTAACAGTCATTGTGTTCGTGCTTTTGTACAAACTTATTGTGAACAGGCCAGGTATTGAACATGTGCACCATAACACATCCTACAAACTGCCATGAGAAACATGCTTCTATATATATTGATAGCATTATTTTGTTAATTCACCTTGTCTTAAAATTTCACTTGTCATTTTATGCTCAGATCTTTTTATTTGGTTCTGGCTATTTTAGAATAACTTCTAACCGGTGTGGTAGATACTGTAACTGTTGTACCTTGTTAATGCTGTACTATATTGATCAAACACTCTGTAGTATATTGTGTTATCTTGTAACTAAGCATTTCAGACTTATGAGGCTTGTGTACCTTGGGAGGTTGACACTCTTTATTGCATGGAAACCAGTTTTGTTTAATTGATCTGTCATATTCTTTGCTCTCAGAGTTCTTAGCTTCTCTCCACTCTGAACTTCCAAGTAATTTTGCAGTGTGGTAGCAAAGTTGATACTGAGCTAAAGACAGCATATTCAGGGTATCCATGGAAAAACTGAAAATAAATAATTACAGAATCTAGAAAAAATGTCTAACAAAGAAAGTGATTATTCTAAAACAAAACCAGGTATGTATTTTTGTTGTATATGTTTTGTTGAGTCTTATATTTATGTGTTTCAGAGAGTATGTAATCTGGCATTGTGATAGTTATTATCTGTCACCTGAATAAAGTATGTGTGAGTGTCATTGCTCATGTAGTACAATTTTTTATGTTTTGAAGACATTTCTATCTGTTGCAGAACAGCAATGCACAGGAATGATTAAAAAATATGAAAACATCAAAATTAGCTCTATTTCTGTTACAAAACCCAGTCATGTTTTCTAAATTCCAAATTATGCAATGAAAGTAATTTAGCAAATCAAATTTCAGATTGCAGCATATGGATATACAGTTAAGAAATAACATTATATAAAGCATGTAATCGTCTACTTTCTAGTGTTTGGTGTTATATTTCACTAGGTTTTTATCAATGGATTTGAAAATGGTAATTAATTACCACATAAGAGGCTTAGCTTAAAAATATGATTTGTTTTTACAATATTTGATTTGTTTTAAAGTTTGAATTGTGGTGAATTCACATAGCTGATTCCCAATTGGACACAATTTGATCCTGCCTCATTGACTATCCACACTTTTTTCAATATATTTACTAAAGTCATCCATCTCAGTAATCTCACTTTATTAAATAATGCCTTGGTTCTCATTGAATCTCTCCACCCTCAGTAATCAAAACAAAACACAGTGGGCAAACTGATCTCACATGCAGGTGTGAAATCCAGTAGGGTAAACAACTTCTGTTTTAAAAGATTTCAGATTTGTTTTAAAGTGTATATCTGTTCAAACTATTAATACAATGGTGAATATAAATGTAATTCTACTGTTTCTAGTAGTCATACTTGTGTGTTGTGCTAGTGATGTGGTTGTTGGGGGCTACACTTCAGTCTTAGCATTCTCACATTGAAAAAATGTATGATATCTGTTAATGTTAATGGTTTTATAATCAATTATAATTTCTACTGATTCATGGCATATTTTTATTTATTGATAAATCATATCGTTAGACTATATACTGTTAAAAAAAATCATTAAAAGGACTTTTCTCCCAATGAGGATTTTTTTTATCTTCTAATTAGAACTTCATATACTCTTACAGTATATAGGACTTTTGATACTACTGTTGTATAGGGCAGGCTTCATCAAGTGCATATTTGTAAGCAACATACAGTGAATCTTTGTTCTGGTTATTTTCCAAAAGTATTTCATGTTCAAACACAATTGCTCATATTCCTAACAATTTTAGTATCATTTTCTATCAAAAACTGTATGTGAAGTACCTAGTTTAATATAGTGTAATCCACGTGTATTTTAGCATATCAGTTATCTCCAAATGAAAAATGTAACATATTTGTAAGAAGAAGTATGACTTGCACATTGTCTGGAATTAAACCCTGTTCCCTCAGTGTGGCAGAAGAGAATTCTACCACTGAACCACCAATTTCAACACATGCCCTATTAAGCATTTACTACATCACCTTGCAGTTTTACAAAGTAGTGCAGTCCTGCCACAGATTGTGATAAAAGGTGTTGGGTGTTACCATCTTGTGTAACACATCATGTACTTTGTACTATGGAGCATTATGCCTATAGTATTCTGAGTGGCTGCATCTGTACATTTATACATATATAGTGTGTGTTTGATATTGTGCTCATGTGCTGTAAACATACACACTTTTTGTTTTTTTATATTGAAGAATCGTCTAAGAAACCTACAGCTGGCACTCGATCCACCAGTAACAATAATGACAGTGACAATGAAGGTAAAGAATACATTTTTGTGAGTTAAATAATTCAGTTGATTTGGGTGTAGCACAAAAATCAGCTCACTTACCTTTGCAGTGTTTTAGTAACTGCAAAGCTTAACTTGCCTTAAGTTCTAATATCATTCGTGTTCAAGTTGTAAATGGTAATGTAAAATTTAATTTGTACAATTGAATGTTTATTGTAAGAAAATTGTGTTGTGAGTCATAATGCTTTGCTTTTCCTTATTTTCCCTGCAGCTGATGTTTGTACAAGCAATAAAGGCAAAAATAAGATCTGGCACTAGTAGTGTACTAGTATGTGCCACAGAAGTCAAATTTAATTAGAACATCACAGTGTGTGTTGTTTAGGTACAGTATGATGGGTCATGTCTCTAGGAAGCGGGTATCCAGGTTAAGAATTAGAGGACAAGTTTGGCCAAATTCATTCAAATGCACCGCATTGCACCACTTCATCTCTATGCAGGCAGGTTGTAGCAAACTGCTAACTGTATCTATATATACAGACAAAAAGAGTGGTTTAATGTTAATGTATGACTTTGTATTGATAAAAATTATTATGGCATTGCATGTGCTTCATTTTCAGTTTATTTATAACAAACTTCTTTAAATTTAACAAAACTTTGTACTATATATAATATATATGATAACCTCCAAGTCCTAAGGTAAGATTTTTTTTAAAATTTGGAATCGCATTTCACAGTTTGACCATAATTTATTTTACTGTAAGACTAGAAAGGTATGTTGCAATTGATTAAAAAAACACCCCTACCCACTGGTTTATTGTGTACAAACACGTGTTGGTTTATTTTTGGTGAAATGTGTGCCACTCAATAGTAGAGTAAACCAAGCTGCTTTTTTAATGACAGGGAATAGTAATGTTTTTAACTAAGCTATGTACACAACTTCTTGAATTATATTATTTTTACATAGCTGTTCTGTTGCTTGGGCACTAGGGATTCTCTTTTTCAAATGTAGGTCTTTCCTGTTTAGTAAATATTAAATATTTAATTAATACCCTTTACAATATATGCATAATTCACACTTCATATAACTTTGAAGTGATGCAATATATTCCCTGAGCTATAAATAACATATATAAATCATTTATCTTTCTTATCTTTATAGTTTGAAGGTTTCATTTCAGTTACAGTACCTCCCTTGGGATAGCAGACCCTTTGAAAAAAGTACCAGGATTAAATATGATTTCATTCAAATACCTGAATTAAAAAAATATCTAATATTTTTATTTCATTAAGGTATTTGAATCCCCATCATAAACCCCTTGTTGGTTAAAATTTGCTAATCATAATCTGTTATTCATATATATTTAATATATTTTGATATTTTTAGGTACAGTACTTCTCAGTATGTTGTTACAGAGCTGCAGTTAAAATCAAAATATCTTGGTCAATAAGTAAACATGTATTTAATATGTAGTTTGATTCTGCAGTATTAAATTACTAAACAATAAGTAATACATTATTATTAAATTAAATAAATTATTATTTACTTTTAATATGAACATCTATTCATCAGCATCCTTGGAAGCAATTCCACAGAAGTGTGAGTTTTGCTTTTATGATTTATTTTATGTTGTGTAATTTTTTACTTTATCATCATTTCATATTGATGTATTTACTTTTATTTTTACATAAAATACTATAATTTAAGATCAGATATTATCTATGCACAAATACTATAATTTAATATAAAATATTATCATTCATGTACATTTCTTACAAAAAACAGCCTTCTCTTTAATGCAGGTGAGAATGAATTAATCACTCTACAACGCCACTATCACAAACTTGAAGTCCAGAAAAAAGCAGAAGAGAAGGAATTTTGTTACACAATCCGAAAGCAGAGGTATATAATTTATAATCCTCATTTATACCGAAATTGTGTACAGTGAAACCAAGGTAAAAAAATCTAAATTTTGTGAAGGAACTTTGAATTGTCCAAATGCAATTTCATGGTGTCCTTTGGAAATAATGTTTAAACGTAAAAAGAAAATGTTTGCAGCTCTGAATATGTAAATAGAAACTTTGTTTAAAAAGTACATTTTTAAATCCAAAACAAAAACTAGAAGATTTTGGATATGTGACCAAACTAAAACTTTATACTGAAAGATAATGTTTTTCCATTTGCTCCCTTTTTAAAGTCAAGGCTTAACTTTACCTATTGACTTTCAGAATTAATTTCCTTATTCCTGGACTATACAGGAAAGATGTCTACATGTTTTAAGACAGATGATGCTAAGAAAAAATAAATTTGCATAACAGCAGGATCAACATTTCAATTTTTCTTGCAAGCAGTCTTTTATCTACAAACTCAAAACATGTACTGTACACTTCTTAAATGTTTAAACATACTGTAACAAAATGTGCACTCTGCTCAAGGTAAATACACATGTATAAACAGTGCCTGAAAATTATTTAAGTTTCAATTGATGTTCTAGTTATTACATAGTAACTATAAGAAGTTATGTAGTTATTGTATACACTAACTAAAATGTTCTTATTTAATTTACAGAGAATTACTTCAAAAGTTAAATAAAGAAAGAGAAGAAATTTTGATCAATCTCGTGGGAAGTCACGGCCAAATTAAAGTGTCCAAAGAACACAAGGTGGCAATTGCAATAAAATCATTGCTTGAGAAAAGTGAAGATGTTGATGACAAAATTAAGAACGAAAATGAAAAACTGCGGGACCTTGACATAGAGGTACTGATTTTTCACTTTAAGGGCTCTATCACTATCACTATCACCATGTCTCAGCTGTGGACTGACTAATCTCCAGACTTGATCCCTGTTAGGACATGTGGGCCGTCTGATTCTAGGGAAAATGTACCAGTATTTACAAGTATCATCAGTACAATTGTATTCAATCAGTGGAATAAACTGATTGCTAATCATTAACCACACATAGTGTACTGTGCCAGTGCTGTGAGTGTAAGTCAATAACTAAAGGGAATTTCTAAAAGAGATTCGGTTTATTTTTTGACATGGCGCTCTTTCAGATCCACACACGACTTCAACTGTTTCACAAGGCTTTGGATCCTAATATAATAAAATCCAAGATGGGTGGTAGAAGTAGTTCAAAACCATGCTGCTCAATACACTATATTTTGGGTCTTCCCAAGAGAACATTGCTATGCTACAGGATGATGTCCTGTCTTCTTCCTCAGGTCTGCAACCATGCAGTGAAGGCAGCTCTCCAGGGTCAAAACTTCCATAACATGTGTAACAGTGACAGAAATGTTCAAGGAGACTAATTTTAAAAATGAAACCGATTTCCTCACCTGTAAATTATATTTGCAGGATAACTCATATTTTACTTATCCTCACATGGATGAATGCTCACATATAAGGAATGTTTTAGAATGCATACAAGGAAGAATTATTTCATACAGGGCTGGTGGGAGGAGTGTTGAAGAAATGCAACTGCAGCTGGACCTTGGCTTGTTACAAACTCATTTGCTGAGTAATGGGATGTATGGGGGGATGATTACTAGACACGCCTCCCTAAAAAAAAAAATCAGCGGGATCCCTATAATGCAAAAGTAAAACAAGAAGCCAGCTGTGTATTCTGTGCATTCCAGTGCATGGCCAGCAGCCATATCACTCTGAAACTCAAAACTGTCAGCCCACTGAAGCTAAGCAAGTGTGAGCCTGGCCAGTACCTGGATGGGAGACCTCCTGGGAAAAACTAAGGTTGCTGCTGGAAGAGGTCGGGGTTGGGGACACTATACTGTAAACAGGTGCCGTCCTTCGGATGAGACGTAAAACATTGTCCTTAGGATGAGACGTCTGTGGTTATTAAAAATCCCAGGGCGTTTCTTGAAAAGAGTAGGGGTGTAACCCCATCGTCCGGGCCAAATTTACCATTGGCCCTTATCAATGATGGCCTCCTAATAATACCCATCTATGAATTGGCTTAATTACTCTGCTCTCCTCCCCACTGATAGCTGATGTGTGGTGAGTGCTCTGGCGCGTTATGGCTGCCGTCGCATCATCCAGGTGGATGCTGCACATTGGTGGTGGTGGAGGGGAGTCCCCATTACCTGTAAAGCTCTTTAAATGGAGCGACCAGAAAAGCGGTATATAAGTGTAAGCAATTATTAATTATTATTATTCAGATATCATTAGTTGCTTATGTCAAGTCACTTCATATACAGTATATGTATACAGCTGAGCACATTGCTCAAGGTACATTTGTACTGTAAATGAAAATTCTAATTTTGAACTGCATTACTATTAGGTATATGCATAACACTCTTTTTTAAACTCAGATTTTTGTTTAATTTTAATTTGAGTTTCCAGAGCCATAATCCCACTATTCACGCTGATAAAAATGTAATTACATACTGTAGAAGTCTTCGCATATGTTAACTGGGACGTACAATTGCCTAAGTCTATATTAAACCTCTGATATTATGTTTTTTGGGGAAAGAATGTCTTGAAAAGTGTATCCATTATACTTTTGCATTGAGAACCATTTGTGAAGTTATATAGAGTGTGAAAGCCTTCCTTTCTACCCTACTGTACTAACTTGAGAGCATATAGCTAAGGGTCTAAGTCTCAGTTTCTTTGCTGATTAGAACCCTAAATTTATTAAACTTTGAGCTAAAACTTTTTGGTTGTGTAATCCTTTAGAATTCAGATTTTCTTTCCCTTGAAAAAGCTATTTAATAGTTTCCTTTTGAATTTTAAATGTGGATGTTTAGTCTTTAACATTAATTTTAAAGGCTATTTAATTCAAAACCTTTCTTCAGATGTCAGGTGTTTTTATCTTTCAAATGCACATTTTGAGCAGATTTCAGAGACTCAGACTTATACACAATGTATAATTTCTGCATAAGGGTGAACAGGTTTCAGGTTGTCCCTTGAAACCAAGGTCCCTTAAGTTTTACTTTTGTAAGGCCAACCTAATATAAAAAAATTGTCATGAATAAGTTAGCATATGTATAAAACTTTTTTTTTCATTTTTGTGAATTCTCAGTAAACTTAATATATAATATTATACATATAATGTTATGTTGCTGGTATCCTTGTAGTAGGATATTTTTGAAAAAAAGTACGTATTTTGAAAAATCAGTTGACATGGCAGTCCCCAAGGAGCTGCATTTAAAACTGAGGAGGCATATCTTTATGCAAAGAGTTGCGGGAGTTTGAAACAGGCTACCTGGTCATGTTGTTAAAATCAATATCCTAGCTTCTTTAAAGAAACAGCTGGATAAGATTCATGGATTGAAATACTAACTACCAAATGGTCTAGATGGGCCCATATTTCTAATCATTCTTATTTTCTAGCCACTGCATTACACAACTTCAATTCAATATTTTTATATAGCGCCTTTCACAACAAGGTTGTCCTTGTTGTGACAATATATGGCGTTACAATACAGAAAGAGGAAAAGCCAGAAAAAGCCGGCGGAGAGGTACCAAAAACTCCTCTGTAAGAGAAAAAAAACCTCTAGGGGTCCAAGGTCAACTGGCTGCCCAACCCCTCTGGGCATGCTAACATTATACAATAAAAAAAAAAACTACTAAATGTGGAGTATGAAGTCTTCCATCATGTCCTTCTGTGTACCAGTACTCCATGCAGTTCTCTGTAGACCAGCAAATCATCCTAAACAAAAGCTTTATTCGTGGTGTCCCTCTTGGATCCATGGCAGTGATGAAGCATCCAGCAGATGGTGCCCAGCCCGGTTTGGTCAGAACACAGTATCTACCTGGCAGGCCAACACCGAGACACAAAATGGCATGTACAGCAGTACCAGCTGTCGTAGTTGCTATGCTATGATGTTAAGTGTGAGTAGACTAGGCTGAAGTAATAAGTTTTCAGTCTTGATTTAAATCCTGTGTCCTGTACATAGGCTGGCAGACTGTTCCATAAACTAGGTGTAAACTGTTTTTTTATTAATATGTGGAATAAGAAGAAGACCTGTGTTCTGTGATCTAAGTGGGCGACTTGGATACATTAATCTGCTCCACTAAATAGAGAGGTGCCTGACCTCAGAGAGCCTTATAAGTAGGTAAAAGAATTTTGAAGTCTGCTCTGTACCTAACAGGAAACCAAAGGAGAGAGCTAAGTATACAGTAGGTGTGATGTGGTCGTACTTTCTACTCCTAGTAACAATTCTAGCCGTCGCATTTTGAATTCACTGTAAGGTGTTTACAGTGCGATATGTGCTCCCTGATAGTAGGGCATTACAGTAATCTAATCTGCTGTATACAAAAGCATGTATTAGTTTCTCTGTGTCTTGAGTGAAGATAAAATACCTTAGTTTTGCAATGCTTCTTAACTGTAGGGAAGCAAGCTTTCGATACTGCATTAACATAAGTGTTAAATGAGAGCCTTGTATCTAAGATGACGCCTAAGTTACGTGCTGAAGTTATAGCAGTCCTATCCGCACTGTTTCCTCCTAATAACAGAACCTCATGTTTGTTAGAGATGAGTCACAAAATGTTTTCACACATCCAAGACTTTACTTCATTAATGTAATTAGTTAAATTGACAATGGACGAGTTGTCATTAGGTGTAAATGAAATGTATGTTTGAGTGTCATCAAACATGACACTCAAACATAGGAATGAAAGTTAATATTATGCTGTCGTATTATCCTACCTAGCAGCAACATGTCCAGGGAGAACAATACTGGTCCAAGCACTGATCCCTGTGGTACCCCAAATTTGACTGGCGACAGTGACGAGGCAGTACAATTATTAGATATTTGAACATAGTGAAACGGTTCATTTAACAGTTAGTTAAATAGGAGGTAAACTACTAAAGGACGGTTCCACATAAGCCAACCTCAGGCTCAAGCCCGTCTAACAAAATACAATGGTCAACTGTGTAAAAGGCAGCACTAAGATCTAGGAGCACAAGCACTGTTGCATTCCCTGCGTCAGTTGCTAACAGAATATCATTTACAACTTTTATAATTAATAATTGCTTACACTTATATGGCGCTTTTCTGGACACTCCACTCAAAGCGCTTTACAGGTTATGGGGACTCCCCTCCAGTACCACCAATGTGCAGCATCCACCTGGATGATGTGACAGCCATAGTGCGCCAGAACGCTCACCACACATCAGCTATCAGTAGGGAGGAGAGCAGTGTAATGAAGCCAATTTATAGATGGGTATTATTAGGAGGCCATGATTGGTAAGGGCCAGTGGGAAATTTGGCCAGGACACCAGGGTTACACCTCTATTCTTTTCGAGAAACGCCCTGGGATTTTTAATGACCACAGGGAGTCAGGACCTCTGAATCTGAAGGACGGCACCTGTTTACAGTATAGTGTCCCTGTCACTATACTGGGGCATTAGGACCCACATGGACCACAGGATGAGTGCCCCTGCTGGCCCCACTAACACCTCTTCCATTTCTCAAAGATGAATTCTTGTACTGTTCAGTGATCTCTTGCCTTATCCAATCCATGAATACAACCCTGCAGCTGTTAAGGTACTTTACTAATTCTCATAACTCTTTGCATGTCTGCTCGATCAGGTTGTTGAGATCTGTACCATATTATGAATGCCCCAATTATGAATTCCTTATTTTCTCCGTTTTCTCACTGCACTGACAGCTGAAGGAGTCTGCCATATTTTTAATCTAAAATTCTATATCAATTGTACCATATTATAATAGATTAAATACATTTGTAAACTGTAAACAAAAAATTATTTCCTTTAATTGCATGTTTGATTATTTACAGATTTCCCTTTTTCTTTGTTTCAGATAAATGAAGTACAAAAAAAACTCCAGAAAGATCGAACAGGCTTTGCCCTGAAAGAAGATTCCAGCAGGAAAATACAAAGGCTAACAAACCAGTTAGCACAGGTTGGGTTATTGTTATAGAAGTAGTAATATTTATGTAGGCATGCATGTATACAGTATGTGTTTTTATTCTGCAGTTTCATTTCTGGCAGGACAAAAGGGGAGCTCAACTGTACCACCACCCAAAACTTCGAGGATTAAGTTGAGAAATAGAAAGAAAATTAAATAAAATTAATCTGGCACCAATATTAAACAAATGCCCAAAACCTCCTACCTTTCCAAAATACACTCACAGAACAATGTAAATAACAAGGAAATGTACAAAGCTGTTCTCACCTCATTCCATAAAACATGACATGCTTCTAATATTAAAAGATTGTATTATTCACATGAAGTCAAATGCCCTGCTAAGTACATCTACAGAGAGTTTTCATTATACGTTCAACCCCTGATTTATTTTTTTAAAGATTATTAATTTTCCTAACTTTGGATTTCCCTAATACACATGGTGAGCAACTTAAAAAAAATGCCTTGCAAAAGATTGGATACCTAAAAAGAAGATACTAGACTTTGAAGTTCATTGTATGATACATGAAGGGGGTACATACAGTACAATGAATCTTTCTAGAGTTTATTTTAGTGGGCGTAGTTTGAGCTTCTGTTTGTCACCACTGGCATCTCCTTAAAACCAGCAACATAATCTCTTCTACAGGAACTTAAAATTAGAAATAATGTGAATTTCTTTTTTTTTTCCCACAGAAAGACAGAAAATAGTCTCATCTATTTATTTATGAAGCATTAACTTGTCAAAGCACTGTCAGAGCACTTTATTAAGCAAAGTTGTATTGTGTTTTCTACAGTTTCTTCTAACCTGACTGCTCATAGTATTACCACTAAGATTAAGTCAATAGAATGTTATGCAGTTCTGATATATCAAAGCTGTCATGGTATTTCAGGTTTTTTCACTGGATTCATTTTCTGATTTTCGATTACATGTTCTTTTCCAGGATTTTGTAAAAGCAATTTACATTGACAAAAACTTCTTTTAGATCTTTTGTCATGTTATATGTCAGTATAGAAAACTGAGGACTGCTTGGTGTTGCTGCTTAGCACGTAGCCACATTTAAGAGAGCAGTTGGTTTAAGTTAAACTGTTACTGCAATTCCTTTGAATTCTGTAGAGCATATTTCAGTACACTTAAAATGATTAAAGGAAGTAGTGATTTTAAATTACTACTTCCTTTGAGTATATATAATAATTAAATGTATTATTCTTAGCATAGAATTGTTGATGTGTTTCATAATAAATCTGCTAAAACATTGAATGACTGATATCACTTTATTTTAATTCAGGGGGTATAATTCATGCATTTTCAGAATTTTTGAAATTCACAATTCAGAAATGCATAAATACAGTAAATCAATTACACAAATCAACATCAATAAAGCTACAGTACATCAATACAGTTACAGTACAAATGGCAAGTATATAACTTCAGTTAAAAAACATGCAATTAAGCATAGTTAAAGTAAAGGTCACATACTTGTGTAATACTCTTGCATTCTATCATGCTCTCTTAGTATATTAAAACATTAAGGGGTTTATTTCTAATACCTTTGAATACTTTGGATTAGAAGCTACGTGGATTGTTACTTTGGATTAGAAGCTACGTGGCTGATTACTTTATCTTACATCAATCAGAATCTGTTTCACATGAATTGTTCTACTTCTTACTGTCTTTTAAAACATACCCCAAGTTAAAATGGAATTAGCAACTATTACATCTTCATTTGATCAAAATTTAGAAAAGCATATTCATTCCCCCACGCATATTCATTATTATTAATGTTAATTATTTAAAATAACATAGTTGTGTTTATTGAACACATACAGTACTTAACATTTATACCACTTAATAACACTTTTAAAATAACCAGCCACACAAATACCTGTTTTTGAGTTTACACTTAGATGTGCAAGTTTACAAGAGCTGAAGATATTGTTTAACAGAAGTTAAATGTCTTGTTATGTCTCACTTTTGCTAATCTTTCAGGCAAACAAAAGATTCTGCTCTGTATTATCCAGCAATTCGAAGTTACGTCAAGAAATACAGACCATGCAAGGAGAAAAAGAGAATTTTCAGAAGTTGTATGATAAACTTCTTCATGTGAGTGTGCCAAGCAGTCAGCTGGGCCTTTTATTAGAAACCAACCCTAAATATGCCAACCCTATTTAAGAAATATAAATATTAGAAACATGTAAGGCTACTGAATTGTTAATGTTATTTTATTAGATAGTATACATTATATATGATATAATGTTAAAATTATATACAATTATAATATAAATTCAAATGCTTTTAAGTTTTATATTAATCAACTTATTAATGATTGTGAGTAGTAATACATCTTTTTTAAATCAATACATGAACTCTAAAATACAGATTGTTCAGATAAGCACTAGGCATAGATACATTTTTGGGGAATTCTACAGGAACTACAGGAAACCCGAAAAAAGGCAGATGTCATCCTTGAAAAGGGAAATGAATTCCATCACACAAGGTACAGTACTGAAGTTTTTCTGTTATTACTCCCCACAATATTTCTTTTTGTGACCTTCTTGTCATACTTCTACCACATTGTTTATTAAAGTTAAAATATCCAATGGATACATTTTCCCATGGGTCTTCCTTACTTTTGTGCCTCTGACTTAAAGCACACTTTTATTTGGACATGATATTGGATGATGTTGGTGTATAGAGATAATTTAGAAAACAAATCTTATAACTGGGTTAAATCATATTCTAAAATATAGATTACACAAATTCTAAAGTGTACTAAATGTGTTCTCCTGTAATTATTTAAAAATGTGTCATCCATGTAAAAAATAAAACAAAAAGAGTAATATTCTGAAAAACAGTGATCTTGATTGACAGCAATAAACCAAATTTTAATAAACAGGTTTATTTGGTATCCTGATGTTCAGAAATGTAAGAAATCTGTCCACCCAATGGACCTGCTGTTGTCTGGCATTTTTTGGACCACTGTCACGTCTCATTAAAACAGCCATCTGTGACCCCTTTATTGTCTTTCACTTAAAGATAAACTCCCCATGTGCATTCAAGATGGTGACATCTGCTGTATTTGACAGTTCATGCAAAATTTGAACTGTTATTTCTTGAGAAAATGCTTATCATAACATTGTCAACATTGATCCATGCAATGATCAGCAGGAATACTTTCATAATCTTGCTAAGACAACATTATTATTAGAATTTTGTTTATTCTTCCCCTGGGACTTGGGTACCTTTGTAGTATACATTTGTTGCATAAAGCATTATGCTCATTCAAGTCATTTCTTAACAGTAAAGGCCTAATTCAATAGAGACTAGATTGACACTGATAGGTTGAGGTAGATGGTATATATCTTACTCTTTACTGTATAATAGGTCCAAAGGCTCTAAACATATTTTCTGTGCATATTCCATAAGATTCAATTCAATTCAAACTTTTTAGTCCCCTAGGGGAAATTAGTTTTACGGCACAGTCAAACACAACACGATGACAAATAAACATCACCAACAGGAAGAGAATATAGTAGTGTTACAGGAGATAAACAAGAGAAAAGGTAGTTACTGTGCATTGCTTTATTGTGTAATTTCATGGGGAATGAAAGATTTCCTGAGTCTGCTGGTTTTACACCTGGGTGCACAGAGTTGTCTCCTAGATGGGAGAAGTGTGAATTAGCAATGGACGTGAACACACTCCATGATGCTTTTGACTGTCTTAATCACTCTCTGTTTGTAAAGGATACTTAAGTTGATCTGATTTGATTATACCTGAATATTTCTACCACTATATTCACTAATTTACCCAGCCTATTACAATTACCGGTACATATGTTGCCAAACCAACAAGTGAAGCGGTATGTTAAAGACACTTTCAGTGAATGATTTCAATTCAGTGAGGTCCAAATAAACAGAATGCAATAGTGCCTTCAGCTGGTAAAGGGTTTCCATCAATTTGTTAAAGTGATTTTGTTTTTTAATTGTAGCTGACATGACATTAAAAATATGTTTGTACTAAGTTTACTTAAAATTGTAATGTTAAAGTTGCCAGGACCACCATACTATAGACTATTATCAAGACTTATAGATACCAGGATTAGAAAGCACTGATATTAAAAATGAAAATGGATGCTGAAGTCTGTATCAAACATAATTTAGCACATATAAAGTAAAGCTGTAACTTGAAGCATGGTACTAATAGTATTCTAAGAGTTATTTTTTGAAAAGCTTATTTTATTTCTACAGATCTGTGTCCTTGATGCAATTATTTCTTTAGGTAGAGTGTCTTAATGCTTTCCATAATTCCCAATCTGTCAGAGACTTGGTATATACAGTAAAACTTTGGTACTAAGTTTGGTGCATATGAATACTTTTAAGAACATAAGAAAGTTTGCAAGCAGGAGGAGGCCATTTGGCACATTTCACATATTTGGTTTTTAGCAACCAATCCAGTCTTTTCGACAGCATGGCCATGGAGAGTATTTCAGACTCTGATTGCCCTTCTGTGTGGTCAGCTCACCTAGACCATTACCAAGAGGAGGCCCCGGCAATGTGGCTTTTGCTTCTGCAAATATCGGTACTGCATATTTCTCTCTGGGCTCTGTCAAACATGTTTTCTATATCTGATGTTGTTTAAGAAAATATATAAGTGGTTTTAACCATGTAGTTTATTCCCTGAGTTAGTTGTTCCGAGTTTGGAGATGGTGTTCACCAGCAAACATCTTGTCTGTTTGATAACCAGAGGCCTTATGATAGGAATAATTAAAAATATAACATTTGGGGGCTTCATTCAAATATAAAATTTAAAAAGTTATGCCTGTTCTTAATAAAAAAAGACATCAAACATACACAATAACTGTATTTAATTTATTAGTAACTTTTGTATCATACAAAGACTTTCAACATGTTCAGTGGTGCAAAATTTCTTTGACGGCTCAGACAGTGACGGTTTTAAGCAATGGAAGAGGTTAATAGGCTGATGACAATAATGTTTGTTGTAACAGAGAAGAGGTCCAGGCGAAAATCATACGGATTTATGACCAGCAGGAAAAGGATACTGAACTGTATAATGCAGAAATGAGGGAGATCCAGAGAGAGCTGAACCATGTTCACAAAGTTGAAGCATTCCTGCAGGAAAAGACAAAAGAAAGAAGACATGACCAGGAGTTTCTTAAAGCCATGGAAAAAAGAGGTAAACTGCTCTTTATGAAAGAGGACTTCTCCATAAATCATTTGTTTGTATGAATCTACTTATGTATAACATATGAAATATACTGCTATATCATTCAGCTTTTATTTTCCAAATACTATAAAATCTTGTTCTTCATTAAGAAATAATATTTCCAGGCAGTACCATAAATATATCAGAAGGACCTTACCTGTGCATTAAGAGACCTGAACCAGCAGTGCTGGTATTATACAGTTACACATGCACATGAGCTCCATGCATGCACGACTAGGCAATTTAAATACAGGGGAGATCTTTGATGCATTAATATATTTTTTTAAAGATTCTATTGAATATAGGTTATATGTGACAAAATAAACATTATTCAATTTCATTCTTTCAAAAGCATATCATACTAATTACAAATAATTGATTATATGGAAATAAAACCCCACAAAATTGCATGCCTGAATCAATTATGTTTTTTAAAATATAATGTACAGTATTTTAATTGATGACATATCAGAAGCATTTAAATGCATGCCTCACATTATATGCTTTGATTCTGAGCACACACAGAGCTTCTTCTGTGTGATAAACAATGTTTTCTTATGGCTAATATTATGCTTTTGCATTTTCCTGTTCAATTGCAGAGGCCAAGGAGAGAGAGCAGACAATTGAGCTCAAGGTCACCCTGAATAAATATGAAGAAGCTATTGAGAAAATCAATGAAATAATTGAAAAGACAACAAAGAAGAAAAATATAAATCAACAGAGAAGGAGCAAAGCAGACAAACACACCGCTGAAGGGAAAGCAGATGATGAAAGAAAGCATCTCTGGGAATTGGGTAGGACTGCATAATCTGCTTGTTATAGTCAATCCTTGAATGACTGAGTTGATGTGAGGAGTCAATAGAAACCTTAACATAAAGATAAAAACAAGATATCTTACAAATGAGAGAAGGCCATTTGACCAATCTAGCTGGTTTGGTCTAGTTTGGTTGCTAGTATCTAACTGATCAGACTGGTTTGCTTGTTTAATAATCCTTTGTGTAAAGAATTGCCTCCCGTTCTCAGTTTCAAATGGGTTTCTCATTAGTTTCCAATTTTTTTTTCTGGTTCCCTTAGTTTCAAATTCTGTCATTTGGGTCATGTTACAAAGTTCTTTCTGGAGAAGTGCATAGAGCTGACCATGTCCATTTGAAAAATGTCAAAATTGTGGACACTGTGCTGTGGGAGATGCCATCTTTTAGATAAAATGAGGAAAATCCTTAAGATAAAATTAAAACCAATGTTATCGTTACTTGGTCATGAAATACCCCTAATCACTGTTCAGTAGAGTAGATGGGTTAAACTTGGATAGTTTAACTCTGGGCCTGCATAATCTTGCCTTGCTCATGGACAGTGCTCTCTGGGTGATGGGTAGACATAAGGTCTAGGTGTTGGGAGCACGGGTGAATCACCAAGGGGCATGGGGTTATCTCATTTAGGCAAGTCACATTGTTCAAATTCTTATGGGGAAATCACTGAATTGGCTGCACCTGGAGACTCTAGCTCCCTATAAAAGCAGTTCCTGAGGCAGTCAGGGGTTGTCTTTTCACAGACCCTCATGGTTTTAAAAAACTGAGCATTTAAATACGATTTGGAGGTAGAGGTTTTCGTCTGGCATAACAAATCAGAGAAAGCTTATAGCGGGATAATATTGGTAGCAGCCTCGTCATTTTCCATTTCGGGAAGCTGGTAAATAAGAAGATGGTTACTGAGCACACTTGGCCAACTAGAGAGGCTCTTGCCATGGCTATCCAGGGAAGATATGGTTAGGGTTCATGTGGAAACCCCTTGCCACACTATCAGAAAGGGGGATCTTTCACACCGTGCTCTGCCCCTCACATGTTTAACCACTGTGTCATATAAAGTACTGTACCACCCTATACCATCCCCCAAAAACTTGCAACCAAGAGACTGATCTTCACCATAAACTAAGCAGGAGCGCATTTAGCTAGACAAGTTGAACTGTGAACCCCTTTCAACCTATTTAAAGAGACTGTTATAACCTGCAACAGCCACAGTAGAGTACTCTGTTGCTTCCACATGTACCAGTGTGCACATTCCTGAACCTATTTCTTGAAATCACCCTTAAACCAAGACTTTTATCAGTCATCTAAAACCTTTTGCAGATCCTCAAACTAATGAAATCGCAGCAGCTGCACCTTCACAGTATGATTTTGTAGTGTTGAGGTTATAAGATATTGCTTTGACCTGCTACAGAAATTATTTCCTCTCAATTTTAATCGGTGTGAACAGCTTCAGCTCAGCTGCATTGTATCCAAGATGAACTTTTTAAAGCGAGTGTTGCATAATTTTAATTGAACTAAAAATTACAGGCAGATTACTTAAACACTCAGGATATTTGCTACTGCTATGTTTTTTTAAACCTTTTTCCCAGCCCAATAAATGTATGTAAAAATCTAAACGTTTTCTACTCCCATTACTCATTCAGTACAAGTTAACATCCATATATATATGTAGATATTGTAGATATCAAGGAACAAATAATAGGTTTATTCCATTCTGAAAAGAAGAAAGGAAACACAACGTTTCGGCTGTGGAGCCTTCTTTGGGTGTTGTTTCCTTTTGTTTTTCAGCATTTAATAAACCTTGTTCCTTTGCAGCCTACGCATGCTGATGCAGCTCCCTACTTGAACTATTGTAGGTATCCTTTTTTTTTCAGTGAATAATTTCTCTTTCCAAAAAATTAGCTATTTATATTATTTATGACTTTTATTCTCAGAGACTGCCACATTTTATTAAGGAGACCATGGCTGACAAAATGTGTTGAAATAATAAGAGCAATGTCTATGAAATCTATCCCTTGTCTTATCTGAAGGCTTTCATTGCTGAATGATAAAGTTCAAAGAATGTGAAAAACAAAACAGAATTTTGCACACCTTAGGCCTTTCAAGAAAAATCAATTTGCCAAAAATACTTATGATGGTTACACAGAAATATGGAAGTGTTTGTATTACATTGTAAGAAGGTTTAACTAGTATTAAGTGGCATAATAATTCAGCAGTGTTCTGTCAACTGATATTCTTTAATAACTATTTCACAAATCACCTCATTTCTAATCAAGCATAATTAAAATATCCAATACAATAACTGAATACTGCCAGTACAAGTGCCTGATTTTTTACCACGATGCTGTCTCTGTATTTGACCATGTGGAAATGCCTTAATTGTATTTTTCTCTCCCCCATCTCCCTCCATGTTTCACCAGTGTAGATTTTGGAAGAAAGATCCTTGATATTGCACCAAAGCCATATTTCTGAACTGAACTATAGACAGAGGGCAAGTGATTTTAGCACAACAGAAATACTTTTACTATTCCAGGTGCTTCCTTCCTTTGGTTGTTGCCTTGATGTCAGGAGAGGTCACTTTTTTGGGGTCATGCACAATATTTATGAAATCTCTTCTGCCAAAGGCTTCAATAAGTCTTTAAAGTCTCAAACAAAAACTATTTATCTTAAGACCATGTGGAACATAAAACAGAAAGTATGTTTAGAAGGCCACTTGGCACAATTAATTTGCCTTGTTCTTGTTGGATTCTATACAATCCTCATGGTTTATCTCTATACCCATCTGTTCATAATTTCAATAAAAAAGCAGTCTAATCATGTATTTTGCACTTGCCAAGGTTAAATTGTTTGATTGATCTTCTGATTAAAAGTTGAAACTGCCAAAAAAGGCTCTGTATTTTTACAGAATTTGTATTACAGCTGGCACCGTTGGCAGTCCTTAAAAGCATCACCCCCTACGTAGAGCAACAAGTGTTCATTTTATTACCCTCAGTGCAATTGTAAGGTTAAGGTAAAAAAGTAACTTTTGTTTTTCAATTATTCAACTGACTTTCAAAGCACAGCAGGCTTTTTCATTAGAAAAAAAAAAAAACATTTTCTTATTGCTATTTAATTAATTAAAAATAATTAAAAAAATAATGCTAAAGGATTTTTGAAGAACTAATAAAAACTGTTTTTGTTTCCTAGTTAACAGAAGGAAATCTATTATACTGAGTCCACGGTTTAAAGAGGCACTGGGAGACAGTGACACTGAGAGAAGGAGCAGAAGGGGCACTGAATATAGGCGGAGGTCTACTTTGCTCCTGGGAGTGTTGCAGGAGGAACAAATCAGACTGAAAGAGCTGATGAGCAAACCATTGGAGCAGCAAGAAAAAATAGATGAAAAAGATTTTCCAGATTTTGATGCTGAACTGTTCTTTAATATTTACATGGAAAGTAAGTTTATGCTCCCTGTAAGGTACACCAAATTAGGTGTTTTGTATTATTTTATAATTTCTGGTTTTGATAAACATTCACTTTCTCTGTAAACAGGATTGTTCATATAAAAGGACAAAATTTAACGTTAATGCTCTAAGATGCCTTTTTTATCATTAATATGCAGAGTAGATTTTAATAATATTATCATAGATTTGTCCATCCCTCACACCTAAGTCACACCTTATGTTCTAGGTCTGTAAATTATAAGATTGTTATCTTTTGTTTATATATACTGTATATAGGTTAGCATTGAATAAACCAAGTGTAATGTGTTTGTTAAAAAAAAACAAATACTGCTTTTCGGGTGTCTTAGAAACACCACTCTTTAAATCCAGTTTATTTGGTGTTTAAGGGTATGTTTTCAAACCTTGCTTTTAAGGTTAAGATTCTTGCTTTGAACTGCAATGAAGAGAAACTGATAGCATAAAAAGTCTATCATTTGGGCGATGTAAGCATTAGCAGTCTTTAAAGGACTTCGGAACATCTTAGAATCAAACTGTATTAACTCTGTTTTAAAAAACTACGTTATTTTCAGGGGAAGACCTCAATTTTGCACTATTTAACTATGTCACTGAACAGACAAGTGAAATAGAGGACATTCGGGAGCAAATTGAACAGGTATTGTAACAATTTGTATTATAATATTTGAATTTATTTTATTTAAACTGAGGTTTTATTTTTAATGTTTTCATTACTGTACATACTGTATAGCCTTTGGCTTTTGAGGCTTACTTATATCACCCATAAGTGCCCTTCCAATTTATATATGCAATTTGACAATTTCATACATTGTTAAATCAAATTTAAAAAACAGTAGAGAAACTGGCATCTGGCATGTTATTATTTGATTGTAAGCATTCTATGCTTCCTTACTTAGTTCCTTTTTTTTGTCCCAGGTGGGAAAGTTGCTTCACAGGCAGGTAAAAGAAAATACACAACATGAATGACATGACATAAGCCCATATACAAATAAGAAACTTACATGTTCGCTGAGAAATCCAAAAATCTATAATGTTATATATAAAATCAATTGTCTAAATTAGGCAGCTTAATAGCCGAGGATAACTTAATTATTTTGAACTTGAAATAAATAATTTTTCTCAATGCAGAAAAATTTAGATTCGTCTCAATTAGTTCATATAGATTATTTTCTTATGTACTGCAATAAAAAGGTTAGGGAAATTCTTCCAGAGTAGAAAACCCAAACAAGGTAAATAATAATTTTTAAATAAAAGTTGAAAAATTTCAATCCATGTATTTTTTCTCAGCATTCATCATTACAAGTTAATTAACCACTTTCCTCTTTCTTGCCTTTGGCCCCACAGTCAAATTGTGCTTTTCTGTAATAATAATAAGTTCAGATGGAAAGAAAAGTGTTTCTCACTATAAAGTTTGAAAACAATGTCTGAAGACATGTATTTTTAATGGTCTTTGAAGACAGAGACTCATACAATCTCAGTGTGTTCGTTCAGAAATATGTAGTCTGTAGAATTGCCCAGTGTATTCCATATTTTTGCTTGTGAGACCTTTGAATTAGGCCAGACAGTGCTTACTTAGTGTTATTACACATAAAAGACTGCTAGATAACGTGTTGTGATGTTCAATCCTTACACCGTTTCCAGAGTCCTGTCCAGTTCTCCTCAGTCTTTAGCCACATTCCCTTCAGTTTCCCTATTAGTCTTCCACCAGCAGGACCCACTGTGCTTTGGGAAAGCTGGCCCGGGATAGATAGTTCTCAACACACCCAGAGGCATGAACCTTCAAAGACACAGCATGTAGTGTTAGCCAAAGCAACCTTGATTCAAACATCAAGTTGAGATACAACTGGTGTAAGAAAAATAAGAAAGCAGGAGAAGCAAAATCTAACCTTCAAAAGCACGACAGGCAGCATCAGGCAGAGCAGCTTGACGCCAACCTAACACAGCTGGCTTTCAAAACTACCAGAAATAGAGTTTTTCCATCCCAGTCATATGACTTCCCAAATTATTCTAATGCAACAAAGAAAGAAAATAATAAAACTTGTGCTACAATTTAAATCAAGGTAAACTCAACTACTTTGCTTTAAAATGTGTGCCTATCAGTTTGCAAATCAAGTTTAGCCCGACCTATTTCTTGTAACTTGGCATTCGTTTCTGATCTCTGCACCAAGGACTTCTTTTCTGTAAACTGTCAGGTTTTTGTTTCTCATTCACAATTGTTTGTTATATACAATGTCACCCCATAAAAGTGCAAAATCTAGGATATCTAGGATCAGAAATGCACTATAATCAACGTTTTATTTATTAGTGCATAAACCAAAAGCTTACACAATGTGCATAACCTACAAAGCTAAATTCACATACATATTTTCTGTGAAAGTTCAAAGGTACTGCATGAAGGATGAAAAGTAAAATAGCTTGGAAAATACCTGTACATGGGAGACTCTTATGATTTGTAATATCACATAAATAATATCCTTCAACCATTGTATATTCTATAAATTCATTAAATTAATTCTGGAGAGAGTAACTAGACTTGGCTGCATGCATGCTGGGCTAAACATTGGACTTAAACAAGAATATAAATATGTTTTACAGTTAAACAGTTCGAGGACCCTATTAAATATGCACAGAGACATACAGTACACACACATACTGTACAAGCATCTTTGTGCTACTTCTTCTTTAAGACTGACTAACCTAGTGTTCATAAAAAATACTATAATAAAACATTAAGCTTTCCATTAAACATATCAATTATGTAACTATTTTTGACTAATCAGAAACAGTGCTGGTATTTTCAGCAAATTTCCTTTGCAGCAGTTCAAAGCACCCACTCAACTGGCAAAAGATAATTAAAACATTTAAATTATTGAATAGACAGAATTAAGATAGCCTACTGCAAAGTCAGCAGAAGCTCCTCATTCAGCTAATTCCACTATCTCCTGGGTTTAATCTGAAATTGGATACTCTATCTTATTAGAACTGACATTGTGTGTGGGCATATTTACCTATCATTGTGTTGAAAAACCTGAGAACTCTACCCACAAAGATAGTAAATCCTGGCAAACAGACAACGTGGGGACATCTCCCTAATTTGACTATTTTTATAAAACGAAATTGCATATTCTTTTAAATTCAAAAGTGCCCAACACATTTAATTTTGGTCTACCTGCATTCTGTCAAATTCCATCTAAGTGGAGTATTGAATAGAAACGAAATATGCAGGTTTGAAGGTTTCTAAGCTAGTCTTTTATTCACTTACTATACTTTAACAGTGTGAGTGAACTGGAAGTAAACTATTGAGAAACTAGAAAGTTGCTTACCGTGTTTTAAAATAAATTATTTGACCAAATTAAAAAGAAAAGCGGATACTGTACAGTAGAATCATCGGGTGTGATTTGTGAAACCGCTCTGTGTACTTACTGTATATTATGTATCCTTGCTACCGGTGAGGTGCAATTAAGAAGGAGATCTGGATGAGATGTCTCAAGTCAATTGGTGTAGCGAATCACAAAAGGAAGTTTCTAAAAGGAATTTTAAAAAATGGATTCTTTCTTGGATGCTGGACCCCAGTTTTTGTCACAAATATGACTTATCTATCCCATTATACCTGACTAGCCAAGAGGCTAGGCTGCACAGTTGTTGAATACACTGTGCAGAGTTTCAAAAGTGAGCGGAAACAAACAAAAATCCTTATAATCTCTCAAAGCTTCAACTATGTAAAAATCTAAAAACAACGGGATTTCTTTTAAATACACAGGTGTATGAATAGGGTTTCTGAGATTAGATGATTAATCTAATTCCAGTATCTCCTGGGTTTAATCTGAAATTGGATATGCTCTCCAATTTCTCCAATACTCTCCAATACGGTAAGGCATGTGAAAGCAATAAGTACAGTATTTCAAGAAAAATAGTTTTTTTAGAAATAGTGGCTCAGTTTAGCCAAACTAAATTAGTTTTTTTAACCATAAAGGGCAATTATTATGTTTCTTCATATTGTTATGTTGCAGCTCAAACTGAATATTGAGTTACAGAGAGACAGAGATTGTGCTGTAAGCCAAGAGCGTATGAACATTATGAAAGTACTTGAAATGACCCTGAAAGATGCTGTGGAGGCTTCAAGCAAATTTAAAACAGATGTGGGGAAATATAAGAAGATTTTAGGTCATATAAGAAAAGGTATGCAATGTTGTTTATTCTAGAATTTCATATTATGGCCATACAAGGTAAATTCATGTATTGTATTAAGAAATAATATTCTTAACATTTCATTTCGTACCTACAGTATATACTGTGTTATTAAAACTTAATATTACCTCATTGATGATTATCTGTGGTATAACTTATTTAGTTTGTCCTCATAATTAATATAGCATGGATATGGAATCTATTTTATAATAAATGACTAATTTTACTAGGTGTCATAAATAAATACTTTAAGTAAAAAAAAAATCCATGTTGCTCTGTTCTCTCTGGAGGACTTACAGGATTTACAGTAGTGATTTCAATTCCAGTCCTTGGGGCAAGTGTGTCTGCAGGTTTTCAGGTCTCTTTAAACCAGCAGCTGCTGAAGAGCTGTGGAAGGCTGATAAATTAGGTCACTAAAAGCTGAATTGGAAAGAAAACCTCCAGACACACTGACTTTCCAGGTCTGAAAGTGAGTTCCGCTGGTCCGTAATAAAGAATTATGATTATCAGGTGTAACTGTGGTGGAACAGCTGTACTTATTGAACCCCTGTTTACTGGCCCAAATACCCCTTGAAGCTCCACTCTTATTCCAGACTGGTAACAGCCTAATTAGATATGACCTATCATAGACCACAAGTAAAAAGATTAAACTGTTTCCACATTAGTAAGGGAAGATAGATCTTTCCCAGGTGAGCTACAGAAAATCAACTAAAGGTCATTTAGTTTCTAGGACAGTGCCATTTAAAAGCCTTCATAAGATAAGATCACTTTATAAGCCATATATAATTTCTTGCATTAAGAATTTGTCTTCTCACATACCCCAGCTTGCTCTCCATGACACACACAGGTGGGGAGAGAGACGCTTGGGGTCAGAGGGCAGGGTCAGCCATTTATACCACAACCCTGGAGCAGCTGGGACTAAGGGCCTTGCTCAGGGACCCAGTGGAGTGGGATTCCTCTGCCAGCCATGGGATTTGAACCAGCAACCTCCCAGGCACAGATCCTTAGCCACAGTGCCACCACTCCACCCAGCACGCTAGAGAGAGATGAGATTCAAACTGTCATGAAAACTGTCCGTGATTTGATATTTTCAAAAATTGTTTGTATTTTTAAATATCCTTGGACATATTATTGCTGGTTAGAAATTACCACAATTTTAATCCTCTTTCGAATTGGTTTCAACAAAAGGAAGCACCGCCAAAAAGTGATCTAAAGATGATTTATTTCCACAGTTGCAAGACCCGCTCGAGAACATTAAACTCCAAGTACCTGTTCCTAAGTCAGTGTGGTACTTTATATGTTTCACAAAACAGGTGTACTGGAACTGGCAACAAAGATTGGGGTTAATACAGCAACCTTTGCCAATTCTCTGGGATGGAGGGGTGACAGATGCTATCAATAGTCAAGTGATTGTGAGCCCAACTGAAAAAGCATGATATACTGTACAGCAATTTTCATTTCTTTATTCAAAAAAATCAACATGTGACAGAATTGATATAACGCAGGTTTCATTATAACAGGTTAAATTGGTACAGTACATATGTTGTAAAATTAAGTTTATTTCTAACTTCCAGGTCAGTCTTTCTTTTGTATATACTGTAGCATTCTTGAGTTCACGCAGTACAAAGGACAAGTGGAGACGAGATAGCAAAACAAGCGACTGCTTTTTTTCTCCCATCAAAACCAGAAACCAACACTGGATTTACACACAAATAAGGGGACCGATGGAACACGTACACAGGTTTAGGGTGGTAACTCGTTAACAGAAGACTACACACTTACAAAGCTACACAGGACACTTAAACTAATGTAACACTATTTACATAAGCAGGGTCAGCTGCTGGTCATCGTGCTGACCCTCAGACTCCCCCTGGCTACAACTCCCAGCCTGCTTCGCAGTACCCTGAGAGCCTAGGTGCGCTTCCTCCTCACCACCGGGCGAGGACGCTAAAGTACATTGCTGTGCAAGTCTTAAAAATGTTGCAATTACCAGTTACCACATAAGTATTTACAATACGGATGACAAAAATCAATGTCATCTGTGCAATCTGTGTATTTTCTGTCATTAGAATGACTTTGACTTAATACAGCTTAGTGTGTGTGGATAAACCAAGGTTTTCATTTAGCTATTTTTAATTCATATTGATCTGAAACTTTAATCATGATAGCTTGAGAGGAACTATGTATTAGTTGCCAATGTGAAGTTTTGTATAAGATAATCTATCACATTTGCAATTTGCAATCAAATTTAATTGGGTCATTGTCAAATGTTCCATTCTACTCATTCATGAAACTGTTAATGTAAAGAAAATCACTAACATTACTGTGGATCACTGTGGACTTTGTTCTACTATAAATGAAAACTGAGTAGGTTTCTCATTCTTTAACCACTCACTAAATGCAGGTAAAAAATCAATCTTTTAGTAGAATTTGTGGTAGTATCTATTTTTTTAATGAGTTATAAATGTAAGAAACATCTCTATTAAAATGATACATATGCAGAGTTCCTCATCTTTATGAAATCATTCACAGAAATTTACAGGCCCAGCTACTTGTATGAAAATTGTCCTCTATATATATTCTGTCTGTGCTGAGTGTGTTCAATACCCAAACAAGCAGAGGAGAGTTCCTTTAAAAGTAATGTAGTTCAGTGGAAAACTGATATTGAAAAGAATAGGGAGGGAGTAGAGAACTTGAAACTCAAACTTTGCAGGATAGCTATTGTAGTTGTTTACTGGGATTTTCTGCAGTGCCGAAAATTGTTTTTTTTTATTGAATCTCCTTCGATTCATTTTTATTACACCAATAATTTTATATTTTTAATGAATCAATATGATCTTTTATATTGATGAGCTTCTTCATAGTGCTTAATCCTAAATGTACTTAAATATATTGAGTATTTTCAAAATGAGGTATTTCTTAGCTATTGAATGAGTATAAAAAAACTTTGCTTAAGAGACTATTGATTCTTGTTGTTGTTCCTATTAACAACATGTGAAAACTGTATTTTTTGTATTGTAAATGTGTAAGGTTATCCAAGTAGATAATTTTACATCAACAGTGAAAACTTCACATATGCATTTATTTGAGAATTTTACAAAATATTTTAAATATGAAAACTGTCTGTCATTTGACATTGTCATGAATTGTTTGTATTTTTAAATATCCTTGGACAAATTATTGCTGGTTAGAAATGACCACAATTTTGATCCTTATTCGGACTGGTTTTAACAAAAGGCAGCACTGCCAAGAAGTGATCTAGAGATGATTTATTTCCACAGTTACAAGAACTGCTAGAGAACATTAAACTCCAAATCCCTCTTCCTAAGTCATTGTTGTACTTTATATGTTTCACAAAACAGGTGTACTGGAACTGGCAACAAAGATTGGGGTTAATACAGCAACCTTTGCCAATTCACTGGGATGGAGAGATGACACTGGCACCCAGAATATTCTCCCTTGTCTTGGGGAAATTGAACAGAGAGTCAGTGAACTGCTGGCTGTGTGGTCATATCAGAAGTATCAGGTGACAAAAGGCTTACATTTTTTTAATTAATTTCCAAAAATCTAAGACTATGCAACTTATAGTCCAACAATGTCATTAGATAACTGTTTCTCTTAAAACAAACTGCTATCTGCATGAAATGAGTACTTTTAGCTTAATGTACTTCTCACTGGGATAAAAATGGCTTTTGTGCTCTTTTAATAAGTAAAATCTGAACTCTTCTTGACTACTTCTTTCAGAAATTTCAGTTTTTTTTAAAGTGACATTTAAAATGGTCATTCACTTTAACATACACAGAATTCAATTCATTTATTTTATATTCATATTGTACTTATCTATAAGATTTATGTAGATACTATTTTTAAAAAGATTAAAAAGGCTTCATAAATACCTTTACAATTACAAATTACTTTGTATGATCTCTCCTATAGGATGCTGAGGGGACTGATGAAAGAACAAAATCTGTTCTCACATTCTTAGGAATTATAGCACCTCCAATTCCTCCAGATTATGAACTTCAGATTCCATCTACAAGGTAATCCAGTGATATTGCATGTGCAGAGAAAAAGACAGAAAGGGAATGTTGAATTCCTTGCCTAGCTGCAGAGGGAATCAACTACTCCATCAATTTTTAGATGGATTCAATCCCTACTGAAAACATGTCAAAAATATATTTATTTCAGTTTCTAAGTAGCACATGTATTGTCTTAAATAATGTACTCTATGTCCTGAAGTGACTTTAATTTATTTATTTTTTTTAAATTTGAATCAAACCTTTTCGAACTTTGGACTTAAGTCCACAATTAACATCTGCAGTTTAGTTTTCTAAAGCACAGTGAGATAAAACATGGTGCAGAAATGCATAATATATTTTTGGTGTTTTTATTTTTGCTTTATGTCAGAGGCATCCTATCGTTGTGCCACAATTAAGCATTCTCATCCTGCAAAAGTTTCCTGTTTCTGTTTGGTAGGAAGTTATTGAAAAAATTGTGGTCTACACTGAAATACTATGTATGTTTACAACGCACATTAGTCCTTTGTGAATTGAGGCCACTGTAATGAATAGCATACCAGCAGGCTAATAGTTCAGAATGCTGAGCAGTAAGAGAAAAACAAGTCATTTATTTGAAACCAGCTGGACATCTGCACTTTCAAAACAATGCTTTGATGAATTATAGGTTTCTTTTTACCTCGTTCAAAGTCAGAGTCAGGTTTTACATCACAGGTAAAGGGTGCAATGAGGAACCCCTATAGTAAAGCTGTTATGACTAAAGCAGATCAATTGTGTTGAGTGTTGTGTGTATGAAGTGAAACTTCTAAAATGCTTACCAAGACAAATTGTGAATGACGTGTGTAATATGTCAGCGAACCCATTCACAAGATTTCCATGGAGAGTAAGTTTAATGTATCATGCTCAAAGCTTAAGGAGGCATTAGATCTTTGAAGCTGACACTGGTTGCAAACTAATAATAACATCTAAAATAACCAAAAGACACAAAATACTTCTTTACACGTCATTAGGTCACTGTATCTAAAATAAGGCATTTGTCAGACTTTTTTTAGTACAGTCAGTACTTGTTTGAATTTTGCTCATTTATGAAATCTTTACTTCTGTTTAGGGATATAAATCAAAATTCACAAAACTTTAGACATACTTCAGATTTATTAAGATAAATGGATTAGCAATTATATATTTGTTCAAATAAAGATAATAGTACTTATTCACCAGAAACTAAATTAACTAGACATGTCTTGGTGTTCTTTCAGTATTTTATTTGTTAAACATTTCTGGAAAGTTGAATTTCCAAATTTGGGGAATATTTGAAAACAAAATCTCTAATATATGCTCATGCAATATTATACCTTAGATTTTCATTTGGTATAATAGTAAATACCTGTACTTGCTCAGGTTTACATTTGTGGCATGATGGCACAGGAGTGCTGGGGCCCTGGTTCAGTTCTGGACCTGGGATGATATCTGTGTGGAGTTTGTATGATCTTCTCGCGTTCACTTTGGTTTCCTCTGGATGCAGTGGTTTCCTCACACAGTTAATTATTAATTGGTTAATTGGCTTCTGGGAAAATTGCCCCGGGTGTTTGTCTGTGTGTTTCTGTCTGTCTGCCCTGCAAAGGACTGGCGTTCCGTAGGGTCTATCCTGCCTTGTGCCCGTTGCTTGCTGAGATAGGCTCTGGCTTCCACCTGACCCTGAATTGGAAGAAGCAGTTAAAAATGGATGGATAAATAAGGTTCACAAATTATTTCGAATAATTTAAGCGTTGGGCAAAAATGTGCATTCTGTAAGATCATTTTAAATGTTTTACAGATGTAAATACACATACTGTACAATGTGAAAGTGCATTTAAAACTGTACTAAATGGGCTACATGGCCTCTTGGCCTTTTCTTGTTTGAAACCTTTCTTATGTTTATGTACAGTATGCCTGCTTTTTCGGAGATTGAGAGGTTCTTCCTGAAAGAAAACAAAATGTCAGAGAGCTGACTATTCATTCAGCATTATAGCAAGCAATAAAGAAAAAAAATTCTATAGCAAAAATGTGTATTTTTAGAAAGGTCAGAATAATTAAATTGTGTGTGTCTACGATAAGGGTCAAAAGTTCACAGCCTCTGAAATGGTATTTATATTTCTAAATCATTTAAATGGGCCCTCCAGGATGCAACTTTTTTAGATGATGGAATCACATTAAGTCCCACCCATGCAAATAAAGGTATTTGATATTATATTATAAAGCTTATATGAACCCTTTAAAATCAGAGAGTGGAAGTTTATATTGCTTAACAAGATATTTCAAAGCAAGAGTGAATGTATGCTCTATGCTATTGGTGGACAAAATCTTTTTTCCAAGAATGGTTTCAGCAAAAGAAATGCAATCTGGTAAGGACTTCATGCTGACCTTTCTAAGTCACCCTGATCACCCTCACAATCATTTCTGCTATGACGACAGCCACCTGCTAATTATCCATCTGTTATGGAATATTTTTTGGCATGTGCAGATGGCCTTTTATTAATTCTTAAACACATCTTGAGTGCATTTTTAATTGAAGAAATTTCTTTAAGGAATTCTATAGGAAACAAAAATATTTTCAACTCTGTATATAAAAACTTTCATAATTATAAACCTTTTATTAAATATTAATATAATTTTAAAATAAATTATGGTATAGCTTTCATATGTTATATACATACAATTTTAATATAGCTTTGTAAAAAGTGATTTTGGTACTTATAATTTGAAACTGTTATTCACTTAATTATTTAATAACATATTTTATTAAAATCTAGCCATAACTTTTTTAGGCAAAGTAATTAATTGCAGACAAGGCATAGCAATAATTATATTTTCTGTTCCACATATGTGTGTCACCTGGCGGTTCTCTGCTTCTTGCTAGGATGAATTAATGACCAATACAGTTATAATAGATGTTCTGGAGGAAGGCTACATCCTAATATTGCACACTTCAGATGGCCTACTTGTACAAGTCTTGTACCCAGGACTTTCTTTTGCACATCTCTGTTGCCCTGCCTCCACATCTATACCCCTGCAGCAAACTCTCGTAGTAGTGGGGCTACACTGGGGCAGTCTATCTAGCATTCAGTAGGCTACCATTCCCATAGCTAGGCGAGCTTTGCCAAATACTGTACGTTATACTGTACATTTTCATTTCTCTTTCACATTCATTAGCATCTAACCAAACTTCTGATTTACATTTTAGTTGGAAATCATGATGCAAAGCTGGTCGAAACATAACAGAACTAGTTTCAAACTGTAAGTCTAACAGGCGAAGCTTAACATTTTTAAATTAGAAAAGAAAAGATTATGAGAATGACTGGGCCATTGTGAATCCTGAAAGCAACTAACAAATGTAACTAAAACTCCCATCTCAAACTAAAAAAAAGAGAATGAGGACCAGAGTCAATGAAAGTGAACTGTAAAAACAGGGTTCTTCAATACATGTTGAGCCTCAGTGGCAAATGATTTACTTGACCCCTTCTGAAAAAGCTAAATCCAAGTCCAAGCAATTACACAAGAAGTCTTTTTGCAGGAGTGTTCTCAATATTTTCTCATAAATGAAATTGTTGCCAGTTTTACAAAGCTATACCAAATCCTGACACTGCAAATAAATACATGAAAGTCTTTGTTCTGTTGGCTGTTATTAACACAACACAGACCCTTTATACAGTATACCAAACAAAGCCTTATTAACCCCATATGAGAATGTGCAATAAAATAATTACATAATTGATTGTAGATACAGGTAATTATTCAATAAAGGAACAGGTAAAAGTAAATTCAATACTGAATGGTAAAGAAAATAAACATTTGGCCGTGGGTCCTTCTTCAGATGTTGAAAATGAAGCCTTACCATATTCTGGACCTTAAAGCAACCTGGTCAGTAACTGGATGGGAGACCTACTGGGAAAAACTAAGGTTGCTGCTGGAAGAGGTGTTAGTGGGACCACCAGGGGTGTCTTGGACAAATTTCCCATCTTACCAATCATGGCCTCCTAATAATCCCCATCTATGAATTGGCTTTATTACTCTGCTCTCCTCCCCACTGGTAGCCGGTGTGTTGTGAGTGTTCTGGCGCACTATGGCTGCCGTCGCATCATCCAGGTGGGGCTGCACAGTGGTGGTGGAGGGGAGTCCCCATTACCTGTAAAGTGCTTAGAGTGGAGTGTCCAGAAAAGTGCCATATAAGTAAGCAATAATTATTATTATTATTATTATTATTATTAAATAGAAAGTTTGTATACAGTAACATTTGCTGTTGTTCCCTTGTAATAATAGTATCAGCTTGAAGCTTTGCTTTTCTTTTTTGAATTTGCATTCTTCTCCTGTTTGTGTCAAGTGCTCATTGTCATGTAATGCAATGGGAATTTTTTTGTATTAGTTGTTGCAAGAAAGCAGCTTCTTAAATTAAATGTCTTTTTCAGGTTGCTTCTTGATAGTGATGAAGAGATTAATGAAGAAGAGCTGAAACCACTTTCAAAGGAAGAACTGCAACAAAAGGCAATAAAATCTCTATTACTTTCCTATGAAGTATCTAACACTCAGTAACTCTAGCAGAATACAATGGGCTACATGGCCTCATACCCCCACAGTGTTCTGTCCCTTGGCTTAGCTAGGGAAATACATTTCAGAATTCACCAGCTTCTTTGAACCTTGTCATAGATGTAAGAATCAGATTTCCTTCCAGTTTACTGTCTCCTTTCAGTTCTTCAGGAACATGCAAATCTGTTAACTACCATGTTCAATTTGTGCAATTACTTAACAATTACATGAAGTAACTGAAATTAAATCTGCAACATATTAGACTGAGAAATGTTTCAACTTCAAGAAACATCATGAGAGTATCTGTTTTGGATGTTGAAAATTAAACTTCAGGATTATTGACCAGCAGAAATGTACAAAACTCAAGGGATCATCTCATTTTGATATGAATGACCCAGTTCTAAGATTATTTAAAATTTTATTAGTCCTTATAGGTTCACTAAAAAAAACTTTTCTCACATTTGCATTTCTAATTTAAAAGCTCATAAAGGTCACAATTCCTGTCGTAAATCTATTTTAATGACATTTCAATTGGAAAAATAGAGAATATTTTTTCAACTAAAAGCTTTGAAATATGCCTTGGTGCAGATTCTAAAACTTGTGTTTGAATGTGAAAAACACTGTTGTTGAAATTTCTAAGGACTCCATTCATACACTTGCAAAAGTGAGAAATTGAAAGATTAAAATTTGAAAGCATAAAAAATGATATGTTATGAATACATACCTAATTTCAAAATGTAATGAAAATAAAAGGGTAAATGTATTCTGCATCATTGTATAAATGATACAGGATATTTGTTTGCCTTCAACTATAGATTGTGGTTGTATGTATCAATGTGATCAACTTCAGCTCAAACAAGTTTTGCCTTTCATTGGATTGCATTCATGTCAGAACTTATCTATAAGTGAATGACAGAAGTGTCCCTAGCTGGTTTTCCCTTTCATGCTTTCACTGTTTAATTAATTTTCACCTCATACCATCCCTTACCCTGGCATTGTGGAGTTTCAGAGTTAAGTAGAAGGTTGTGTATTTAAACTGCAGGTGGGGAACTGATGTTGTACCCTTGAGTAAGGTACGTTACTCCTACTGCTCCTGTAAAATGCCCTAATCTGTAATCTTTTTATTATAAATAAGAATTTCTCAGTTACATTATCTGATTAAATAATATGTAGTTACTATAAGTAGTTGCCACTTCAAATGATACTAATGTACTTATGTATATAAAATCTAAATTGTATATTTGTTGAATTTAAATTTGGAATCAAGCATACAATTTATAATCCCACACATTTATACTATTATCTGTAAAACATGAATGAAAAAAACAATCTCTTTCCTCGAACATAAGCCAAGCAGATCATATCCCTCTGTAAAGCTCATAACCTAGGGATTTAAATGGTTAAATTGGAAAACAAATTTAGAGAAACCTGAGATTGAGAGCTCTTTATAGTTTCGGCTTTGTAGTTTTATGATGTGGATGAGGTGCTCTCAATCATTACATCTAAAAAAAATCATTAAACTTGACAAAACAGTGTAAAGCAAATAGACTGCACTGACAACATATGAAATCAATACACAGTGTACTGTTCATGCTGGCATCCCTCGGGAATGAAGGTACGGAACTGTATAGAACTGTAATTTCACTTTTCAGCAGACTAGCTCACTTTTAAAGAAACCCAAAGTTTTTCTCAATTGTTATATGAAAAACTGTGCAGCCTAGAGAGACAGAATATGGGCTTAAAATATTCAGCAGACTGAAGTTGAAGACTGTTGATTTGCAGAAATGCTAATGAATTCTAGCTATTTCAATATATATTCAGTGGTACATAAGAACCTTAAACAGTTACAAACAAGAGAGGGTCATTTGGAACATCCATCTTATGTTAAGGTTTTTCAGTAGCTAATAACATGTATTTCTAAAAATAGAAAGAAAATATTTTTATCACTATACACAGAAAGGTAAAGTAGTAGTGTCTTTAACTTATTTTCCCATCCAAAATATTAATAACCATACAACTAATCTTTAGTAAAGATCAAGTACAACCAGTTTGTTGACTCTGTAATAATGTGAATTAATGAAATTTTGCTATTTCTCTTTCACATGCCTACTTTTTCAACTTCTGTTCTAGTTTGTTAGCATTATGAAATTAAATGTGAGGAAACCCCAGTGTTTGAAAGGACAAGCAACATTAGTAAAAATGCACCTCTTTCAAACTCAGCACAAGAGTGGCTAATACTGTTTCTGACTGATCCACCTATTACAGCAAGTGATAATAATGACTCTTGAATTGTTGTGCATTCAGCTTCAGAGATGAATACATTTGCATGAAAATTGAGGTCTTGTTCTAATTGCTTCTGTCTTCTTGATTTAATAGATCCAGATTAAGGAAGATGGATTAAAAAACAAGCAAGGAAAAACACTGCCTTAGAATTCTATCCACGCAATCAACATGGCAAAGGAAAATTGAGATCAATGTTTCCTATATGATAAAAAGCTCTTTCTTTTTTCCATAGTCTAGATATTTGGCATTTTTATGAGATTTACTTTAGCTTTTGCTTTAAAATAATTTAATGCAGAACATAAAAATCATCTTGAATATCTTACAATTACATTAATTATTATTATTTTATGTGCCCAAAATAATAATTTTTGCAACAGACAGAATGTATACTTTGGACTATGATAGAAACATTTTTATTTTATATATAAAATGGCATTGATGCCATAGGAAGGCTATGTTTGGCAAAATCTTGTCATGCTATTAAAATGGTCTGTGTCATTTCTGGAAGCATTAGTCCAATTATAATGATATCTTTACTTGTTTCAGAAAGTAAAATAAAAGCCTAGCTGAATGCTAGTGAAGTAGCAATTGGTTTCCTGGACAAAGATTAATTACATAGAGAAGCAAAAAATAGGTCAGTGATCTCAAGCTGCCGAAGCTACAGTAGCACTTAATAAACTAAGCAAACAGTCAATTAGGTGCTGTTCAACAGACCTACAGCAGTAAGATCCACGTTTTCTTGCACCAAAAGGAAATCTGTTTGATACTTCCACATTTTCCAAGATGAAGAATTGTATTTCTATCTTAGAAAAAATGTTCCTTTTTACAGTTTTTTTTAATCTCTGCATTTAATTTTCTACACAAGCTGCAAATAGGTGCAATTTAATTCTTTATGAGTTTACAAATTAGAATATAAAAGTGTACTATGAAGTTATTGGCTGGTTGGGGGTTTACCAGATTTTTGAAATGCTTTATTGATTCTTAAATAATCTTATACATATAATGAAACAATAAATTTGAAATTATGAGATGGCATGTATGTGATTAATTTATTTAATTTTCTATCTCTATTTGTTTAACTCTAAATAAACTGATTAGCATTCAGATTAAGTTCCTAATATCCATGGATATTCTGTATTATCCTGAGCTATTTGTTAATGAGCAAAACGTGACATTCAGACCAAAATATTTGAACTAAAATTCATATTTTGCAGGTATTATATATACAGTATATCCATTTTGTTTATTATGGATTATTGTATAACATTATTTTGTGGAGACACAATAACCACATACTGTTTTATAGGGATGCAAGGGCTCACAACACAGTCCAGTGAAGGTTTGGGATTAGTTTAATTGTAATGAAAATGGCCACTTTCTGAGATCACTGAAGGAGACACACACAAAGATTATTTCCCACATTCTATGTATTTCCAGTCCTTAATTGTTATTTGGCCTTTTGTCTATTTCTGAGGTGTCATGTACAACAGCAGGCATCTGTTCAAAGTTCTCTCAAGCCTGGTCACGAGCAATGACTCCTGGCCAGAGCCAGATTTCTACAGTTTCATAGTAATTGACATTAAATATGATGTCAATTTTCCACACAAATAACTATTGTATAGGGACCAATGGTGGTCATCCAAACTGTTTCAAAGGCAGAGAGCAGACGAACAAATGTCCCTATCCTCAAATGCTGGTCAAAACCTGCACAACAAGGCCACACAAGGTTGCTACCTGGTCAAAGCATCTCGGGTCCCTGCCTGTGATTTAGAAGGACATCCTCATTAAACGCTGAACATTACAATATTCTTTTCATCACTGGAAATGTAGTGCTGAGTAAAGAGATGGTACAATAGTTAGTAGAATTCTCAATCCACTGGTGTCCTGGGCATGAATAAAAGCAGTGACTGTGTTTTACATGTGAAAACATTTTTGGTCATGTAACTTCTAGTGCCTACACTAATCCATTTTTAATTCCGAAATGTAGACTTATATTTTTTAAAGGTTTAAAGAATGACACTTGTTAAACATGATTAAAACATAAATGAAAGTCATTCACTAGTTTAACAAAATGCACATGTTAATTTCAGACAACAAGAATTTTCAAAACATCCAACAGATTAAGTATTAAAAGTTATGACTGTTTCCATTTTGTTTATGAAGCACACTAGGACAGCCATACAGTATTAATATAGGTATATAATTTCTACTTTTCAAATAAGGCTTGTTTTTTAATGTTTTAATTTTGTTTTCAATAATTATATTTGTCAATACAGTACCTTTACTGGTCCAAAACTGACCAGAAACAAAAATAGCCTATTCACAAAGGCTGTTGGCTATAGTGTAAAATTGATACAATTTTTTTCTTTAGTAAAAAAAAAAAGAAGTCTAATTTAAAAGTAAAGTAACATTTTATTTAATTTTTGATTTTGAAACATTAACTTTTAATACCACTTTAATGAAAACTGAAAAAAATCAATGACATGAAACAATCATAAAAAGGTTAACTGAAGTACTAGTGCTTCCTCTTCTAGAAAACCTGTTTATAACATTTATTGTAAGCGTATAGCTTCCACTTTTTAAATGTAATTAATTTTAAATGTATGCAGATAAATCATTTCCATATGAAACATAGAATTCTGTAAATGTGTTTATTTTTGTTTTATGACAGGATG